TACCTCAAATGTATGTGAAAAAATCATGCTGATTTTACTGCAACAGAAAAGGTAACTGCTAGAATATTTCACAGACAATTAATTTTTTTGGTCACGTGGCTGCCTCCTGAACTTCCCGGAATATCGTCTGGATGTTTGTGAAAAAAAAAATATTTCATAAGTATCTCTTCTTCCTGTCGTCTCTCATAATCATATGGTGGTTTTTGGGACGTTAAACCCCACAAATCCATCAATCAATCATATCTCTTCTTCTGTGCCAAATTTGGTATACAAGTTAAGTGAAGGGCTTGCGTAAAGTGTTTGAGCTCAGTAATATTATTACCATTTTTCGACCACATACGCCTCAAATAATTTAGCCGAAATATGTTATATCTGCATTTCTCTATATCAATACTGCACTTTGAAGGAATATCTGAGGAGTGAATACTTAATCCACATAAGGTAAATTTGGAGGGAAAAAATGTTTTAGACCTCTCAAGCTGTTAAACTTTATGAGAAAAAGTCGTGAATTTCACAAAATAGTTGATTTGGCTTTAATGAGACGCAACTTGCACCCTATGGTGGTTGAATTAAAATAGACTGTATCTAGATTGAAAGCAAACAAACAGTTCTTTTCATGTGCCAAATTTCGTCATAGCAATTTATGTTTTGAGATAAAGATCAAAGCATATCCACGGAGTGAATGATGATGAGTGGGGCGTAGCGTTCGTCCGTCCGGACGCACAAACGAATCGACAGACAGTCTGACGCCAGTATGGACGAACAGAAAGACAGACGGACTCATGGACAGACCGACACACAGAAGCCCGGACGGATGGATGCACAGACGAACGGACGAAAGCACAAATGTACGGACGAACGATTTGCCCCACGAATCATCATTTTCTCCCTGTATATGCTGTGAAAACCACTAACGCTATCTATTGCGCAACTCATCAAGTGGCTACATAATACTAGTACGACTACCGAGGAAGCAACGACCCACGGCCTCAAGAGCTTTGCCCCTAGATGATTTTTGAAGTTCCAAGTTCCCCATTCGCCATTTGGTCATACGGCAGCCGACGCCTCGAAGTTCCACTTTGCTGCTGATGGGAAAATTCAAAAATTATTTTATTCCTTGAAATAGAAATTGTAATGATGAAACTTGTCACATACAAAGAACTGTTTATTTGCTTTCAATTTAGGTAAAATGTGATTTTTAATTGGACCACCTCATGGTGCAAATTGCGTCTAGATAGGGACAAAACTGACAATTCCGTGGAATGAGTGATCTTTTCTCCTGGAGGTTAACAGCTTAAGATGTCTAAAAATAATTTTTCATCAAAATATCTTTTCTGTGACGTAAGTAGTCAGAGCTCAGATATTCATACAAAGTGCAGTATTGCAATCATGAAAATGCAAACATAGCACACTTTGGCTAAATTCGTTCAGACGTATGTGGCCGAAAATATGTATTAATATTGCCGGGTTTCAAACACCTTACATAAGCCCCGTCCCTTAACATGTACCAAACTTGGTATAAAAAAAGGAGCGGTACTTGTAAAATATTTTTTTTTCACAAACAACACTCAAACAACATTCTGGAAAGTTTGAAAGGCATCCACGTGACCAAAAACTTTTTTTTCTGAAAGCAGTTCACTGTTCAGTGCATTAAATCAGCACGATTTTTTTCAAACACATTTGCCATAGCTGCAAAATTGGCTAGGAAATTTCAAATAAAGTGACCCTGTCACCTTCACTCGATGACCATTGCATACTGCTAACTTGGGGCCGTTTGTTTCAATCATGCTGGCAGGCTGAGAAAGCATAACTCCTTCGCGATGCAGCGTAGGCTGTTCAGTGGCTGTGCGTGTTGTGTTCCCAGATAAATACGCTGTCCAGCCTTACATTTTGGCTGCAACACATGCTTAGATACCGTGCAGTATGTATAACATAAACTGTTTTTGTGCAAGGAAAAAACTAATTATATGCTTTGCATAGCGAAAATACCTTTAAAATCTGAAGTACTTAGCGAAGTTAAACGCCAAAGCGAGCCGATGGCAATAAAACTCTTGATAACAAGAATATTTTGAAAGTTACTCATGATGGAAACAATCCGAATAAAATGTGCTCGAACGTTAGCAGTTATGTTCAAACAAGCGTGTGCGCTGTTCAAGTAGACAATTCGACCACACACAAAGACGAAAGGTCTGTTCAAACAAAAGTCCAACATCAGTGCTCGACCCGCTACACAGGCACGGCTGTCGGCAGTGTCAAGCTACGTTGCGGGTGAACGAAAATGCCGGGGAAGACAAATTTAACGAAATTGAATAAATTAGCAAGTAGCCACACTTAGCGAGGCGCACCTAACGTGAAGCAATATGCTGTGTTGTCACCCGATGCAACAACCAGAGTTATCACGGTAGTGTTACCGCACAAAACGAAAAAGAACCGAAAAGAACGACATGGACACCACGCCCTTATTTTCCGTTCTTGGTCTTTTTGTGCAATAAGAAAAAAAAGAGAGTAAATGAACTACCAACATGCCAGAGCATATGCATCTTAGATACGGTTGATGCTTAGAGCTAACAGGCTCCGTCCCCACACATATAATAATTAGTAATTTAAAATTGATGAGTATAACCAGCGGGCCCCGTTAAAAACGGCTGCCAACAAAGGGCACCACAAAAATCTGTTCAATTTCTTCGCTGAACCTCAGTGGCGCACGCTCATCCTGCTTTGTACTCCAAACAATCCAAACAAACAAACAAAAAAACTTTCCCACAATCACACTTAGCTATCACACCGGGTAACAGTTCGGACAAATATTCTTGATAAGTAAAAATGCTGATTTGTGATCAACTTGTTGAAAACAAAATTGTTTCAAGGCGTTATTCCCGTGTTCACGCAGTTAACAAAGCGCTGAACGGAACAACATGAGAGCGGTACTTACTATTTCACTTCGAGTGCTCCACAATATGAATCCACAGGTCCAGTCTTTAAGATGGTGCACCTTCGCAATAATCAGCACTGACAGAACACACAGTTCGAGCACATAGCGCTGGAACATTTCAAACTAAACACCAACTAATAAACTCTACCGATCGAGAAGCCACGTGCACAACACACACACAAGGATACGAGCTTTTTGCTCATATCCTTGCGTTTTCTTTTTCGCAACTCTGTGAAGAAAATGCTCAATAAACTCGAAAAGGTGGGAAAAAAATCGAAAATGTAAAATGCCACCTTCCCCAACAAGAACCTTTTTTTCTCAAAAAATTTGGTTTCGAAGGTGGTGAATGACATTCAAACACGTTGTGTGCGTAAACAATGTCTTCTGCACTATCAGTATGTGCGCGGCACTCACATTATTAGTAAAAATACATTTGGGTTTATAGTTCCTACATAATCTTGATATTTCAATTACTCCCAAATACAAGTGCCCGACACAAAAAAAAAGAAAGCATTGGACTGAAGTGCTATTTGTGTGACGACACTTTTTTTCGAGGCGCTGTAGGCTTAACCGAAAAACAAGGATTGAAATCACTGGAGCTCAATACGAAATAGCTGCCGCTGTTAGTACTACGAGTTGGGTGTTCACTCGTAAGTCGTTCTCGACTCTACACCATCGCATTCATTTCAACTTTTTGTGTTTAGTAAAACCCTTCCGGCGGTGTGTCACTGTCGTTTATTTTCTACTGTCAAGTGGACTCGGCACTGACTGCTATCTACATCAACGCAGCCAACGTTTTCGTCGCACACGCAGTCACTTCGTAACTACCAGCGACTCCGTTTTTCCATTCCATATCGTCGCAGGTGGTGCAAAAAAAGGCTCTGTGCTTGGACATATATTACTTCTTTTTCATAATTGCCATTTACTGGGTGATTGAATATCTTACATGCGGCTTTATTTCGGATTCTGTTATGTAGCCCAAGGTAATAAATTAATGTGAGTCCTAAATAATACAATGGCCACTAATTGACAGGTATTTGTAGTGTCAGTAATTGATATCAAAATTGCAGCCCATGAATTGTGAAATGAATGTATTCTTGGTCTACAGGGAGTTTCCTGCCGTCGATTTCAGGGCAAAGGTAGGAATGGTGGTAAGGGTGAGACGGATTCAGGTTACTGTTAGCGTGAGAAAGGTACTCTTCAAACACCTTTTATGTACTAAATCGCTATTGAACAGAATAAAAAATGGCAGCATATGCACGGGGTGAACGATGGAGAGTGGGGTGGAGCATACGTCCGTCCATTTGTTTATGCTTCCATCCGCCCGTCCGTGCGTGCGTCTGCTCGTGCGTCCGTCCCTGCGTTTGTTCACGCATCCAACCCTGCGTCCATCCATCCATCCGTCTGTCTGTCCGTTCGTCCATCTAGCACATACTCCAAGTACAATCATCTCGCATCTTTCCATCATATATTCCGCATATAGAAGCACCGCCATCCAGCGGACATTCCAAAGACTTAACGAGAGGCGGCACACGCACACTTTCTTACGGCTTGCGCTTCATGTCTTCTTCCCACCTTTAACCACCTCGAGTTCATGGTATATGCTAGTTCACTATAGTCATGGCACTGCGGCCCAACCCTCGCTAAACCTTTCTTAAACCAAGGAGGTTATGCCCCGCGAGTATAACATAGCAACCCTTTCTTGTCAGATAGTGTGCATGCAAATGGCTGCAAAGGGGGAATGAGAGACAGGAGAATTCGGCTTTTAGTTAACGCGCACGCTGCGAATTTTTTTATTGTCCAAATACGCACAGGAGAAATATCCCATCGGCACCACCTTGCAGGTCAGAGCGTAAGAATAGTTACGCCCTACGACTACAACGAGGGATGAACAGGTGCCGCTTTAAGGAGCTTCACGCCTAATAACAGAATGCAGTTGCATTGGCTAGCTACAAATACTTCAGATGATTTAACAGTTGGGCGCTCTTGACAGTGGGAAACTAAAGCTATGTATATTCTACGTCGTACAAGCATTAGCGCAAGCGCGCAGCAGAAAACTCAGGGACACTGTTTTCGCTTGCTCGCGAAAAAATAAACCAAACTTTTATTTCTTTGCTCTTTTAAGAGATCAGAGGCACCCTTATGTAATCACCATTGCTCGGCGCATCCGCAGGAATATCTCTCGTTCGATTTTGTGCACTTTCCTCTTAGTGAGCCAAACTTTTGGCAGAGTAGATGGCACATGGTAGCGTTTGGGCACTGCCTATTTACAACTGCAAAATGCAAAATAGTATTCATTAGTTCTGCATATCTATAGTATTCATTATATCTGCATAACATTGCTATCTGCATAACATTGCTATCATACTACCCATGTTTTCTAGGCCTAAATACTTGGTCACAATTATTATCATATACAATAAAACGAAGCACTCTACGTAATTTCGTTCTTGAAACAGCGCTTGTACATTGAAGCTATCCGACAAGTGCCAAAGCCAACTTCTGTGCTCTGGGCAGTAGAGAATATTCAAATATTTTTTAAAAAAAACCTCAGGTACTTCGTGAGTATCTTGTATCTGTATTGCGATAAATCTCGCAGGGTGACTTTTTATCTGTGTTCTGCAATACATTCAATCTTGTTGCTCGAGGCACAAGATACCTAAACAGAAACAATACCGTGTGGAACAACAACTCTTCTCTGAACTCCGCTTTTCAAGCTAATAGCGCTTCCCCTGAGAAGCCTGAACTAAGCTGAACACAGTGACCTGTGGCACGTTCTACTTCACCATAGCCTCTGCAGTACGGCTATGCAGCTTGAGTGATAGACTGTAGAGTAACATAAAAACATTACAAGAGTGGTCACTCAGGGCCAAAAAGCGGCGGAACTACGCAACTTCACCCCCGCCGCAAGATGGCAAGACATCACTAACTGCTTCAAGGAAGCACGCGTACTACTAAGTGGTTCTAAGAGAGAAAGGAAGAAAAAAGTGAGCCCCGTAACTGTCTGCTTCAGCGAGCGACACCTCAACAGTAGCTCACAAGGGATGGGGGTAAGGAGGGATTAAAAGGATAGGAATAAAGATGTAGAGAGAGAGAAAGAGGCGTGACGTGGTAAGCCAAGGAGAGCGACGACAAATCGTGGGGATAGGAGAGATAGAAAAGATGGAGAACGCGTACTAATTATTCACTACAGTACCTTTTTAGTGCATTTTACGTCTACGCGTTTTTGCTTATGTGATAGTCGCCTGAATCCGTCTTGAGACTGGCGAGGAAGTGTTAAGGACATCTTTTAGAAGCTCTGCAAGGGAGTTCCCACTCTTGGGTAGTCTCGCAAGGTAAATAAGCAATTTACAGTCACCGTGAACAGTGTGTGATTCACATAATCATTACTATCCTAATATGGCCTAATAATTCCAAAAGAATTTCCTTGCTTGTCTTGGCTCAATGGGGTGTCCTGGCTCAGTCGGGTGTACATGACCGGCATGGTCAGTTTGCTTACGGGCATTGTCAGCAAATCGACCATGTTCTGGCTCGCATAACACAGGCCAGAACACGCGACCAGGCAAACAACGACGGCAAAGGCGACGCTTCCGAAAGAGGCAATGGCACAGAACAGAGAGAACGAGTGAGCCCAAGCGTGCGTGGCCAGCATCTTCTACTACACCAGTGCCCCTGCAGTGGCCATAATTTTCGCTGCGTTTCGCGCGCTCCTGTCCCACGGCGAGAAAGCAACGCCTGTCACAATACTAAGGTTGCTAGAATTTTATCCACCTTAACACTGCCCTCCTCCAGCCACCATAATGAGAAAAATGGGCAATACACAATTTTGCCTGGTTTTTGTACATGCTCGGGGCGAATCAGACTTGTGGCTTCGTTTATTGCAAGTTGCGGCTTTGTTTAAGAAAAAAGAACGAGCCCCTTTGAATTCCGTAACCCGATTTGAAATGATAAGCATAAAAGTATAAGGTGATGAAGCACAACCGCTGAACGTTTGCTGATCTTTGTGTCATGAGTAAGCAGCTCCAAGCCGAACGAACACACACGGAGCCAGAAGTACGAAGATTAGACAAATCCTTGTACTACCCATCATTCCGATGCTCGCTGAAGCGCCGTGCGTTGCAGCTCCCTTAGACACTTGCGCCAGAGTTCCATCTAGTGTATATTGCCACCAAGTGTTCTGTACTATTAAACAGTGAACCACTCCTGTGCCAGTGAATGAAGAAGACAAAAACGACCAACCCGTGCCAGCCGGAGACGTCTTTCGAATAATACTTTATAAGACCACTCAATTATTGGCCGATTCCTCACAGTGAGTATGAGCCACAACTGAAGGGCAACAAGAACAAGGACGCGTCCTTCCTCATGCCTGACATTTTCACAGTCGTGTCTGCTTGTATGCTCGTTTGAGCCCCTATCGCGTGGTGACTGGTTGAGGTGTGGGGTGCTCTATGCACCCAGCCCTTTCTGTAGTGTAAGAACTTCCAGCCCCGTACTGGTGGTTACGCCTGTTCACCGTGCCAGCCGAAGTATCTGTGGACTGGACCCTGAGTTCGGACTTCTCCCAGAGATGACTGCTACATCTATCCTAGGCAGCACCATCCCCAAGTGACTCCAACACAGCCAGTATGGAAGGTGCAACGCCCATGCACTATACGCTGTTTGAAGCCCCAAAGCCGAATCACTTTCATGGTGCTGCTCTTGAGGATGAGGATTGGCTAGTCAACAAATACTTCGTTGCCGCTGATAACACGTGGAATGACGCAAACTTATACATGTCTGATTCAGTTTGAATGATATGGCACGTTTTTGGTACGAAAACCGGGTAGGTGCGTAAACGTCATGGGAGGACTTCAAACACCGGCTTTTCAAAACGCATGCCAGTCTCGATCGCCGAGAGTGAGCTGAGCGTGAATACCAGTGCCTTATTCTAGTGGCAAACAAAGGCGGAGCCATGCACGGTAAGGACATGACGCGTCTTTTTCGATGAGTCGAACCCCCCCCTCCTCCGTGCCGGAAGACAAGAAGGTGCGATACCCGATGCGTGGAGTGAAAGCGCAGTTGTTCGGTGGTCTTGTACGCAGTCCACCGAAGACTACGTCAGAATTTCGTGTGGAAGCGGTCCTAATCCAAAGCAGCTTCGGCAACCGGCCCAGTCATATGAACAAGTCAACCTTGCATCCGCTAAGGACTACACGGGTGTTCTTGGGGCCACGTCGACTTCTTCCGAGAGCACATACACTCTGTCATCCGCGAAGTACTGCAGAAGATATCAGTACTGCGGCGCCTTCTACCAGTTCTTTGTCCGGCATCGTCCGAGAGGAGGTTCAGCAGGCACTACGAGAACTTTTCTGTCAGACAAAACCACGGCCCCTAAATGACTTCTCTCACATGTCGTGCGCGCAAACTCTGCTCTAGCCAGTACAACTTTTGGCCCACTTCCAGCCGTGCCCTCTGCTATGCTTTCGGCAGACCAAACTCTGCGCCAACCTGCACCACAACGCACTCCGCTTCACACCACGGCCCCAGTCATGCTTCAGGCAGTCCAGGCGGGCCCGTATCTCAGCAATCACCAACCGACTGCACAAAAAATAAGACGTGTAGCGTGCCACCAATCGACGTCCTCTTTGCTCTCACTGTGGTGAAGCTGGGCAACTCTGCCAAGAATGCCCTTATCAAGATCTGGGACTTCGCGTTTTTTCGGCAACCACTCCACCTCCTTGGTTCAGCCAGGAGCCTCCGGAAATTACGGTCTACGTTGCCCGGCAGCACGGATAGGCATCTTGGCACCACTCAGATTCTCCATCACCGCAGCAGTTCTCGCCTAATTGTCGTACCTATTCCGGCGTGGTGCAGGGCCGGTCGCCTATCCTACGCCAGGAAATCTAGCCGCAGCGACCTTTGGGGACTAGGGCCCAAACAACGAAACGTTCCTTTCCTTTGACCGCGTCCTCTCCTTACGTGAGGCTTCCTTACAACCAAGTACCGACGGAGGAAGCAAGCGTACTCTGAAAGCTCCCTTAACCCGTCCTCGCGGGAGGAATGGTTGCCGCGCTCCTGCGTTCGAGATTATCGAATATGAGCTTTGCTCACAAGCGTTTATTCTGTAAAAGAGTTGGGTCACCACATAACTTCCAAATTGAAGTGTTAATATAGAGACGCGTGTACGCTTTCTTCAAACTACAATTACTGAATGTGAAAAGCCACCGTAGTCGAGCGCAAAACGTGGTGCATTCGAGCAACACTAAAACGCCCCACGGAGGAAGGAAACAGGTTTTCTTTTCTTCCTCCGTGGTGCAGTGCACGCACGCTCGCCGCTCGCGTCTCCCCACAGGGGTGGGGTGAGAGGGTTGCCTCGAAAACGAAAACATCACGTGGGCTAGCTGTGAGGCGAAGCGCTCGTTCAGGGCAAGGAGGGGACCTAAGGGCGCACGAAGGTAGCCCCAAAGCAACCTTAAGCTGAGGAAGCGCCAAGGAAGCCTTCACCGAGGGCTCCTCAGTGAGGAAGCTTTCAGAGTGACATGAGGCGGCCTCACAAAAATGAAGGCTTCCTTACTGAGGAAAGGAACGTTTCGTTGTTTGGCCCTAGGCCACTCAGACTAGTCAGGCTCAAGGCTCCCTATCAACGCGGACGGACGATACTGACGATACATTGATGGCGACATCACCGGCTGATTAGGGATGACTTTCCCTTGATATTCCTGTTCTGCTAGATGGTCACAAATACGGTGCTTTTGTGGACACTGGTGTGGACTATTTAATAATTAGCAAAAAGATGGCCGTCCTTCTGAAGAAATCACTGACGCCATGGAACCTAACGTCGCTTTGTACAGCTGGCGGTCATATCATCACGTCACTCGGTATGTGCACGGCAAGATTGCAAGTCCGTGGTGGTAAGTTTGCTGCCAGTTTGAGCGTTCTGCTTCAGTGCTCCCGAGACCTGATCATTGGCATGGATTCTCAGAGCTATATTTGACCGTGCTATATTCGACATTCGACGAATTCTAGTCACGTCCTCGACCACGAACGCCATTACAGCTCATACGTATACTAGCCACTTCCGAGTGTCTCTTCGCGTCGTCGACAACTGTGTTATGTTACCAACCGAAGGAAGTGTCGTGGTCTAGGTGGCGTTTGACGGAGTGATGCGAGGTGAACCAGTCGTGGAAAGCATTCACTTGCCCTTGCTGTCCCAGGGTGTCAGCGCAGCGAGAATCCTTGTTGAGCTTCGGGATGATCACTTCGGCATTCTTGTCACAAACTTCAGCTACGAGTA